GGGTGCCCCCCTTCCTTTAAGATGGCGTCAGATGGCCTGTACGGTGGGAGTCATGCCACCCTAGTTGCCTATTGCTGGCACTTTCTATTTAGGTTATGTTTCTTGTCAAAGCCACCAGCACAATAACAACAACCACCGCCACAGCAGCAACCAAAACTGCAACAACCGCAACAACCACAGCCACAGCCACAGCCACAACATCAACCACAACAACTACTACAACCACCACCCCAACACTACCAACAAACACGAACAATCAACACCACTCTCACCTGCTTGCCTTTGCCGCCTGCTGGCCCACTGTTTGGCGTAAGCCCCTAAATTAGCCAGGCAGTCCCCTGCTGGCCGGATGGGCTAACGCCGACCCCTGTTTCAAGGACCGAAAACATTGCCTTTTGATCCTTTAGGTCTGAGCGATATGCAGCTACAGCTACAGGCGTTAGAAAAGTTGCTGCAGCAAAAATGCGCATTTATGGACGTGGCTTTTCGACCCTTCGATGTCGGCTCTTCCTATCATCGAGACGCAGACGCCCCAAAGTGTAGGAGTGTTCACCCTAAATTAAACAGGGAACGTGAGCTGGGTATAGATCGTGGTTGTAAAGTTTGGGAAGCACCCCAAACAGTATTCTTTTGATTTGTACTAAGGCTGCCGAGTATCGGCTGAGTTGAAGAAGTGCTGCTTCAATTGTGTCCTTCGGATCATGATACTCCTTGATCATGGAGTCTCAAACTTGACATCAGAAGGGAAAATTCCTTCCTTCGGCTCGTGGCTGAAGAAGGATCCAAAGATGAACAGACCCAACACTCCACCTGTTGGTTGGATTGGTTGGATGGGTTTCTGGAGTTGAGAGATCGGGATTTCGCCCGATTTGACCAACAAGTACAACGTGTTTTCTATTTCTGCGCGCAAAAGCAGCGGAAAAGGTGCCAGACGGCTGCTTTGAAACCCATGAAGAAATCTATTTCTGTGCAAGAGCAGAGCGGCCACGTAAAAGAGGACCTTGGCCCATCCATTTATAGTTCTGCCCGCAAGAGTGGTCTCAGGTGGTGCCAGACCAAGGGAGAAGGTTTCACCCTGGGGCGTCCCGGGGGCCGCACGGCTTGGGCCAGGCTAAGCCAAGCCAGGGTCGGCGGATATCCTGATATACTTAACGCATATCACAAGTTCATTTGAATGAAGGTTCAAACAGGCTTGCCGGAACACTGAGCACCGACACTCCACCACAACTATAGGTGAGTTTTGTGTGTATGGTGCACGAAAAACCTCACGTGTGAGGCTCCTTTGTGTTTGGTCTGAATTCTCCTGCTGCATAAATAGCCAAAATCCAGGGATGTCCAGCATCACGGAGATTCGCTCGGTGAGTGATGTAGCATCAAGGAGTAAATGAGAAGGAGCAAGAACGAGTCACGGCTCAAAATACCTTCAGTAGTTGGAAAATCACCATTGAAGATTCAAAAACTTCAGTATATGTTAACTTCAAAAACTTCGACAACCTTTTCTGGTACACTGTGTCGGACTGACTTTGAGAGACGCGAGAGATGTCTCGATTCCAAAAGAGAAGACTGAGCAAGATAGCAAGGTTGTAAAAGACCGAGGGTAGCACTACGGTAGCACCCGAATACGAGACTCAAGTTCCACTGCAAGTGCCCTCAGTGCAAAAAGTGGAGTGTACCTCACATCGAAGTATGTGTGACATCAAAGCAACAGAGCGCACTGGCGTCAGCAACCCCGCAATGCACTTGCTCAAACTCTCAAAGCTTAGACACTTCAGGTTTCCATGCATCCTCACATGCTCATAGACACATGCTCATGAGAACACATGTGACAGCCCATCCTGGGATTGCTTTTCGTACCGCTTCGCATTTCCAAGGAGCAGTGCTGGCATCATTGAGGCAATTTGTGCGTTGCTGTCAAATTGTCACACAAAACATGTTGCTTCAAAACACATTTTTAAATGGTCAGAGTTGCAGGGTGCAAGAACTGGATTGTCGGCAACAGTGGTTGCCTGTCTGTTTGTGGCATCTGCTCCGACCTGAGTCTTTCCAGTCTTATGTGTATAGTTTTGTCTTGGTTCTTTTGTTTAATTTGAGCTGTTGCTCCAGACTCAAGGCCTTCCTCACTCCTGTGCTCAGCTCAATCCCTCGCGTTGCAACATCTGTTCCTCTGGTGCGCCTTGGGACTTTGTGTTGCACAGCGGTAGGTCGAGGATCGGACCCAAATCGTCTCACAGGTCCTCATCGGTGCCTTCATGATGGCACCTTGCCGAGGCGTGTTTTGTTTCTCACAAAATATCAGGGACTACTTTTGAGCCTCCCTACTCCTAGGGAGTCGGAACAAGAAGCTACTAGGAACAAGAAGCTACTAGGGGCTCCTGGCATCGCTACTAGTAGGGGCTCCTGGCATCGCTACTAGGAACAAGGGGGAAACTACTTCGATCCTACATACTGGACGCAGGATAGCGCTCGCACTAATGATTTGGTTCCTGGACTTTTTGGAAGACTTAGGAACGATTGGGACAATCTTTATTCTCGAATTGCTTCCAGGTATTGATTGGGACAATCTGAGAGCAGCAATTCCGTCTTTCCTTACTATCACTGTGCAGATCTCAGGTGTTCCGAATCTGACTCACCTTTTCATCCCCATCATCTCCCCCCCCTGTCCTACCTTCTACTCCATGAGTCGTTCAAGCCGTTTACCGAGGTTGTGCCTTTTACATACTCAATCCACAATGGTATCATTGCAGGCTCAGCCACAACTGTGGGCACAGTTCTGCTCTTTCACAGGGTGTGGAGCATTGAGTCCTCTCGAGCAAGGAATCCTCATGGATGCGTTCTTGATGATCTCAGCTGGCAAGGTTCGGTTCAGCTCGAAGTGTCTCGCTGTACTGTTCAATTGACTGACAACTTGAACCAAACTCCAACAAGCACGCTTAGCAATCATAGTAGAATGAAGTTAGCTGATCCTTTTTGACGCCCAAATAGGATTGGAAACCGCCCAAGAAGAGCAACACTCCTGTGCCAGGAGGAGCGTGCTGTGCAACCAGCAAACTCACCTCTTCAGCCTTTGCTTGCCCCTGAGCTTCGCAACCTGGGCCGTCGGAGAGTTCCAGCTTTTGCGAATTTGGTAACTAAGTGCGCTCTAAGGCTGAATCACGCAGAAGCTAGGACAACATCCCCTGTACTTGATAGGCGCACTGGCACCATAGCAACATAGAAGAATTGTTTGGCGCACAAAGCCTGTTTGATGTAGTCCTGGAGGCTTCTTTGCACTCCACATTCGACAATGGCCTACGTACCGGAAAAGGCTTGGGAGAATCTTTGCCGACTAGTAACAAGAAGCTAGTAACAAAGGGCATCGCTACTAGGAGCAAGGACGCTACTAGGGGCTCCTGGCGCTACTACTAGGAACAAGAAGCTACTAGTAGCAAAGGGCATCTAGGAGCAAGGACGCTACTAGGGGCTCCTGGCCTTACTACTAGGAACAAGAAGCTACTAGTAACAAAGGGCATTGCTACTAGTAGCTATTTTACTAGAGCCTTCAACCTTGCCCTTTGAACATGCTTGCCCTGTTAACCTCTGGGTGAGGCTGCAGTTGACGAAGCAACTTGGATGATCAATTATCAATATGCAGGACAAAGGACTCTAACATACTCTAACTATATTGGGCTGCAACAGCAGACAGGAAATATGTAGTAATATGATGCAATGAACGCATGCCAAGAAGAACAAGATGTTTGAGTCCAAGGCCAAGGTTTTCATGTTGGCTCGTTGTCGTTCTGGTTTGATCCTGAAGGTGGAGCAAGCCCAAATGCTTTTTGATAAACTACGACAAAAAGGTGAAGTCTATTCAGAACAGGCAAGACTGCATGCACAAGCAAGACTTCATTATTTGGTTTTTGCACCAAACATGCATGGTTCAGTTCAAATGGATGATTCAACTGATCTTGTCCACCTTGGGACAAGCGAGAAGTTTGCTTTGAGAAACGGGTTCATGCAGAGCTGGATAGGACAAGGTGGAGGATGGGCTTCTTGCAGCTTTGGAGGTGCCAAGAGATTCAGCTTCTGTGAGTAGTGGCAGCACAGTTACATCAATTCTAATCTAACTGTTTGTAGCTGCCTATATAGCTGGGGAGAACAGCAGAATGTTGTTGAACCCAATTCTTTGAAGGCCTACCTGGCTTCTCAGAACATGACCAGTCTGGATCATTTGTGAGCTGTGAATTTATGCTTAATTTTGGCGATTGCGCGCTGTTTGGGTCGTGCACCGTCAAAATGAAGGTTTCCAAATGAGGCAGCAACCCAACAGCTAGAAATGTCCAAATGGAAGATTGCTGCACGCCACTTTTTTGCACAGCTAAGCACAGCCAAGCAGCGCGTCAGAATTTGTTTCACTTAATTGTGCCAATGTTGCATGATTCCAAAGGATCAAGTTACATTTAAAGCTTTTCGGACTCTTGAAGGCTTCGCTTCGCTTTTGTTCTTTGAGCTCGTGAAAGCCGCTTGGAAAATCGTTTTGCAGAAGCCTCTCTGGACCCTGCAGTCAGCTGATTTCTGCAGATTCCCAACGATTCCCACCCTGAAAAGTACAGGCTGATTGTTTCATCTACATACATAGAGCAAGTTCCAGATGATGAATAGCTGATTCTTGTTCTGTATCGGGCGTACCTCACGGGGGAACTGTGATGCCGTTGGGCAGACGCTGACAGCAGTGGCTTAGATTACCAAAGTTGGATGGGCCAATGAACAACTTTGGACAACACGTGACAGGAACTCGATTTAACTGATCTAGAAAAAGTTGTGTTGCTGTTGCGCCACAATTTACATCCTGAATCACAAAGTTGGACATTGGAAGTTTCCAAGCTTTGAGTGTACAAACAGAGATTTTGCGTCTAGCCCGCTTTGCATCCGAAGATTGTCACGGAAAATGGCATGCTTCTGCAAAAGGCGCGTGCAAATGGAACCTTGATATATTCTGACCTTGGCACTAGCCAATCATCCAGGTCTCCGTTTTCCAACAGCTGGCAAGCCAGCTGCTGCCAGAGGATGGCAAGCAAGAGGCCTCAAGCGTGTGTCCATTCTTGCTGCTGCATTTGATCGCTTGGCAAAGTTTTGGCCACAGCTCCGGTGTTTTGGATTATCCACCTTGTCATGCCAGTCCAAGTGTACCATACCTGTTCGAACACCGGACGGGACTGCAACGCAAGCCTGCCACCCAGACTAGTCAAGTTGACAAAGCAGCTCTACCAGCTTTGTTGAAGCATTAGACTAGACTCAGACTCATGGTTTCAATCCATTATATAGATTGATGATGTTTCTGCTGGCCGAGTGTTGAAAAGGTGCAGCTCGAAATTAGACGAGATGCAGCCCTGCAGGCAACAAGCAAACCGTTTGGCATTGTCATGCGCGTGTGCCTTCATAATATATCCCGCAACCATATTGACTCTAAAGACTCTAAAGCAAGTTGAACCCACTTTCAAGGGTGTAGAATCTAGTAGCTGCCTAACCACACTTCTGTGAGCAATCTCTCACATAGGTAAATCCTGATTGTGATCTCAAAAAACTCGATGGTAATTGGCATGAGCATAGTAGCAAGAAGCTACTAGCCACAAGGGCATCGCTACTAGTAACAAGGGCATTACTAGTAGTAACAAGAAGCTACTAATAACAAGGGCATCGCAACTAGTAACAGGTGCATCGCTACTAGTAGCAAGAATGGAAAGCTTTCCTTTCGATGAGTGCCCTGATGGGCAGTGCTCTTCTTCGTGCATCTACATGCTTGGCTTGTCCTTGGCCACAAGAGTTTCTACTACAGTACTTGCTTTTCTTTGGCCACCTGCTACACCAAGAGTGAAGCCCATTTCTGCTCATGTATTTTTCACTGTTTCCATAAGAAGCACCTCTGCACGTTGAAGCGATCAGTGACTCCGAGCTGACACAGGACAAGCCAAAAGATGGCCAGTGCATAGCCTTAGCATGGGCTTAAAACTATGAACTCTCATGAGCATGTCACTTTCACTTGACCATGCTTTGCAATTGTGTCGGTGTTGGATGCACTTGAGCCGCAGGTCAATTCAGGATTATTTAGAGACACACAAAGTTCAGCAACGGATCCAGCATCTTATACAGGCACGCTAGGTTGCATTCAGGTGTCACGGCAACATCACCAAACTTTCACGTTTTCCTGGGCCTGGATGAATTTCCTGATTTGATACAACAGTACCAGGCCTTGGACAATCAGGTTTTGTCCCACAAACCAATTCCTTTCGTGTGGGCTTGCCATATGCATATATATATATATAACTATATTATATATATACACATACATATACATACACACAGTATATATTATATATAAATGCATATATTGCTTGCAGATTTTGCTGTGGCAAGCTTGGGAGGAAGTGTTGCGAGAAGCGCCCGAAGATCCTTACAAGCTCCTTTGAGCAGATTAGTGAATGGGCTTTCTGGTTCCGGGTTCCAGTAAAGCCACCATGGCCAAAGTCAAAGTCATGTTTCTGTCGGCTGCGGTCAAAACCAGTATTACTGTGGCTACATTAGTTCTACTTGGTCACTGTGTTTCCGGAAAAGACTCAAGCGGTGCCAGCTCAGGTTCATGCTTCAGCAGCTTCGAGAGATCCAGGTTTCGCTGTTGTGTGAGTGCCAACAACTTAGAAATCGAATCAGTTTATTTGCAGGCAACAACGCCAAAGAGAGGCTCTCGCCCGCAGGATTTGGGCATGCATGTTCATGATACCGAATCTCTGCTTTAGGATCGATTCGCTTACTGCCGCTGCTTCGGGAACAGGAAGTGCTTTTGCCTCAACCTCCGGACAAGCCAAAGCCACCAGGACAGGAACCAAATCATTAGTGCATGCAGTGCATGAGCTATCCTGCGTCCTACCTAGAAGCTAATTTAGCCTAGTAGCTTACTTTCCCTTACTTTCTTACTAGGCGCCTACTTAATTAATTAAGTAGGGAGGGGGGGGAGCGGGCTAAAAAGGAAAAGCTTTTTCTTCCAGACGATGTCTGGTCGGTGTCTCGTTTCCCAAGCAGGTTCACGGCCTGCCCCAGCTCCAGGCACAAGTTCAGTCCTGCTTCAAGTTTGTACGTGCATTGTTACTGACAAGGCCGCTCCATCGTGACACCAAAGGCCTTGCCAGTTTTAAAAGCCACAGACCTCTCATGGTGAATGAACATGCTTGATTTTCAATTCCTGACACATTTTATCGAAGAGCCAGCTATCTCTGAGTCTTTTGTAGGTGCAGGTGGACAAGTCCGAGCATCACTTAGCATAAGAGCCAGACAGCACAAGTTGACGGCAATTCAAGACCTGAGATTCAAAGGCCTGGAAAGCCAGCAGGCATGTTCTCCGCTCAGGCCAGAAAGCTCATCCAGAAAATAATGGGTGAAAGAATCCAAACTCATGGAATCATGACACATAATATTTGAGAGAACTTCCCTCATGTGAGAGCTACACCCCGTGGTACCTGAACTGATGGTAAGTGAAGACTTGATGGGAGGTAAGGTGCATGCTTGATTCACACCACGTAGCACTTTTGGGAACACTTTCCCTGTGCTTGGAATTGTCATGTAAAGAGTTGCATCATTTGAAGTAGATATGCTAGAGAAGCATTTTGCTTTTGAACTGTGACGTTGCCAGCAATGTTTGGCTCAAGATCTCGGAAAACAGGCTGTGGCACGACCGTGACTTCGATCGTGCATACTCGGCCTACACTGAAGGGACAGACCGAGGACTTGACAATAACTGGTCATCAGCCGCAGAGAGCTGTACGAGACCTACTAATGTGAGTTTGCAACTTGGCATTGGTCATCACAAACCCATCATCACACCAAGACACACGTGTGTTGGATACAAGTGAGTGAAGCGATAGACACATACAAGCAAGTTCACTGAGCATAGGTTGGACAGAAAGCAGACATTTGTTCAGTGCATCACAACTCTTCGCGCCTCCCGCGCAATTGATGCCGCCACAGGAGCGGGATAGGTCGCGGCGCCGCCGTGGCCCGCGAGGCGGTGACCCAAACCGTCTGTCGCAGATTTCTAGATGCGAGAGAGGTCTACCAACGGAAGACCGAGGGAGATCGTCTGGTCGAACCAGAGACCATAGAGCTGAGCGTGAACATCGCGAAAGCCACGATCGTGTTGAGCGTGGTCGTGGCCATCACGGTCGCGGGAGAGGCGACCGCGAGCAAGAGCGAGTTGTGTATCGTGAGCCCAGTCCTTGCCAAGCTCGCCAGCCTCGCCATCCTCCTCCAGGATATACAGAAACTTGGGAAACAAGGAGACCTCCACCCCCAGTGACAAGCGAGTCGGAGGAGCGTTCCAATCGGAGGAAGAAGACGTTGAGTTGGAGAACGAGTCCGTGGACACCGATACAGGATTGCCCAGGGAAGGTGAACATTCGTCAGGTGCAGTTGAAGTGGCGATTGAAGGCACAGCGGAGCCAACAGAGGGTGACACCCAGAAGCTTCTCCTGAGCTTGAGCGTGGTGTGGAGACTTCCAAGCCGGACTGTTCCATCGAAACGTCTACAGAGTTGTCGACAAGGCCAGAACGTTCGATTGCCGCCAAGAAAGAAGCGGCTAAGGCATGGAGGTCCCGACCAGCCCTTCCGTCGTCAAGCTTGCCTTCTGTGTCCCCGAGCATTGAACCTGAGAGAGACGTGACGCCAGAGCCTAAGGCCACTAGTGCAAAGGTGAAGGCCAAGCAGCGTGATGCAGTTGGGCGTGACTCTTCATCACAGTTGATACACTTCGGAAGGCCATAGGAAAGGAGCCAGGGTGAGACTTCATCAGCTTCCGGACTCAGTCGGGAACTCGAGTCATCACTTCCAGTTCCTCCGCCGGTTCCTACGAACACCTCCAGTGCCTCACGCACCATCGGGAATGCGCGTCCTGTTGTGTTGGCGCCGCGACCCAAGGAGCGTTCGCGAGAGAGAGAGGGAGAGCCGGAGACCGTGAGAACATCGGCGTCGGCAAGGCCTATAGAGCCCAGTGCATTGCCATCCAACGTCACTTGGCAAGACAAGCCATTGTTGTTGTTTGATTGGCATAAGACATTGAGCTTTGGATATCCACTCCACCGCACGAAAGTGCGGCACAGTTGTTGGGTCGTTGCCAGTCCGACGAATACTCCATTGGTGTGCTCAGTTTCGCATCGGCCAAGGAGACACAATGACTGTACTCAACGGAGTACATGATCTCGAAGCGCGTCTCAATGGCCCTTTCGACGTTGTGGCCATAACGAGGACCAAATTTGTGCGTGACCAAGTGCAGGCCCGTCGATTACCGGCCACCAGGCCGAAGGCTCAGCTTGTGTCAGAACTGGGTGCGTTGGTATTTACCGACGATCAGGGAGGTCTGGTCTTTGACGTGAGGGCGTGGCAGAAGGATCTCCCGCAAGGAGGTCGGACACACTTGGTCAAGGCGGGGTCGATCCCTAGCGAAAGCCTTATCCCTGTGGAACGACTCCTGCGAACTTTTCCTCGCGCCCCTGATCTTCGTGGAGGATCAGAGCCTGTGGAAAAAACTGGACGGCGGTCACGCCAAGTGTCGAGTTGAGCATTGGCCCAGTACATTGAGTGTTGACCTGTGATCAGATCATTGGGCATTTTGCCGGACATTGGTCGAGCGTTGTGTTGACACTTGGAGTTGAGACATTGCGCAATATCTGGCGGCATTCGTGCCACGTGTCGGGTTGAGCATTGATTGCGATTGGATAGCGCGTGAGCAGTTCAAGTCATTGTTTTTGTTATAGATGGGTGGCGGTTGAACATTGTTCAGTGTCATTGATCCTTGTGTTGAGATACCCTGCCTTGAACTTCGCGTTCAGCTGCAGCTCGCGTTTTATGCGACGAACGCGACCCAATCTTTGCGGAAGCGCGATCACTGTGCAAACTCGCAGGTACTAGCGCGTGGCAGACAACGTCGCGACGCAAGCTCGCGTGCCAGCAGTGAAAAGGGGAGGCTTGTGTCGCTCAGCGGGTTGAGACATATTAGGTAGTTGAGAGATTTGTACTGCATTTGGGTTGAGTTGAGCTGTGCTGCACTGGGTTGAGTTGATAGAGTGATTGTTGCACAGCGCCACGCAGTCGATGTCGAAACGGTCACTTCCTGCGACACTCTTTCGTGTCATCGGCCCTGAAGGCTCCTACGAGAGCTCTCTCCGGAGAACGGGGTTCCGATCATGGAGGGAGAGACTGGGACTGGTGGAGGACCCGGGCTCCAAGTGAGCGTGCTGGTGAGGGGAAACACAAAAGTTGCAGTGAGTCGCATGAGGACCCAGACATCAGAACCTTCCCAACCTTCTGGGGTACAAGGTGAGTCACCGACTCCGGGGTGCGTGTGTATGATCAACGAACCCCCAGGTACTGAATCAGCGCAACATCGATCCAGAAACGCTTGAGAGACTTGTTCAGGGTTATATATGTTCAGTCGCAGTTGAGCCATGCCGAACAGGTGATACAACGTGAGCGACGACAACATCAGCTAGAGCAACAGAATGTAGCACTTCAGCTGAGCCTTGAACATCAACAAATGAACCAACACATCCAACAACAAGGAGCTCGAATGGCGCAAGAAGCACGCAGCAAGATCAACCAAATCAGAGCGGAAGCAGAGGCTGAGATCCTGAAGCACCGACAAATTGCAGAACAAGCGCAACGCGAGATACAGCGCGTGACAGCTGCAGCAGAGGCGAGGTTCCAGGATCTTGCGCGTGAGAATGAGGCACTCCGAGCGTCGCCCGTTGCAGGTTACTTTGATGCGTGTCCGTCGGAAGCCGGAAGAGCGCCATCAGTTGCTTTTGCGTCGCCGTTGAATGTTGTTTGCTGTCGTGTGTGTGGTAATCAGAATGTTGTTGGTATTGGTAGAGGTTGGTGTTGGAATTGTAAGAGCAATCTCGAAGAGCCTGAGAATGGTACGGACCCCTTTGAACCGCCATCTCATGAAAGGCGTATGTACCCAATGCCTGCGCGACCTCCCAGTGTCGTGACCATCAGGGAGCCAGCAAACGCGCAGAGGAACTTGTTGGCGCACGAAGGGCCTTCTTCCTCGAGCGGTCCGGGGCCGTGGCGTGCCGTGTGGTGCAATGCATGACGGTTCACATGTTCATCATCTTGGCGTTGATCCCAGGTTGGCCTATGGAATGTCGACCGCAAAGGCTGTTTCAGAGTCGGGCAGTGCCCCTATATCCCTGGTGTAGGATTTCAACGAGCCGTTCCGGCCGTGCCATCGTTCCCAAGAGCTTCTATGGGACCGGCTTACCCGCCAGGGGTGTACATTGGCGCCATTCCAGAGGCGCCTCCAGGCGTGTCGTCATCAAGTCACCCACCAAACATCTCGATTGCAACACCTCGCAAGCGAGAGTCATCGGGGTCGGATGGTGGATCAGGGAGCTCGGATGGTTCATCCGATGAGGGCCCAAGGATGCCGGCAGGCAACCCTCCTGAATCTTGGTTGCTTGACGGTGAGACCGAAGACAACGTGTACAAGATCAAACACTTGAGAAACATCTCAGTCACCAAGTTGCCAACCCATGCAACATCTTGTAGAGAGTGGCGTGCTGCGTTGCTTGCGTCGGTGTCTCGCATCGATCTCACTGCGCGTGATGTGTTGGCGAAGTATACTACGCATTGCGTGGATGCTGGGCGAGGTCGGACTTTCAGGGCTACGCTCCAGAACGACCAGTCGTTCATTCCGTTCAACAAACGCATCGCCGCCGAGCTCATCAAGCAGGACATCCTCTCGACCAACACGGATTTGGCCCATGAACTCACTTCCTATGTTGAAGCGTGCACTGCAGTGAGTCAGGGTCGAAAGGGAATGGATTTGTTGAACATTGTCGCGTCCTATTACGAGACTGGATGATCAGATGCCCTTGTTGTCGTTGATGCTTGCAGGCAGGGGTGCTAAGGACCTCACGGAGTTTGCATGTCAGGAAGACCAACTACATCCTCCATGGCTTGAAGCAGTCGGATCGACCAGCCCCAGAGACTTTGTTTCAGTGGCTGTGGCAGCAGGTGAAGCGAGTGCCCATCCTTTCGCGAATCACGGACAAGGTTCGCGAGTCGCGCAGTCGGTCGAAGAAGAGGACCTTGAGTGGTCGTGGGCGCAGATTGCCGACGAGTTGAGGGAGCGTCGCCGTGACATGAACTATGACAACATCAGCAAAGGGTTGAAGGATATGCCCAACGCATCGCTTGCTTGTCCATCTACTCAGGTCACCAAGGTTGACAAGCCTCCCAAGCCGCCGAAGGCACCAAAGACTGCGAAGGAGTCAGATGCCTCAGCGTTGCCGGCTGACGCGAAGGGCGGTACGGGAAAGGGGAAGAAGTCACCGTGTGCCATGCATGCTTCTGGCTTGTGTCGGTTTGGATCGCGTTGTAGGAATGAGCACGTTGGTGACACCGGTAGTGATGCCGCAAAGAAGGCATACATGAAGGCTCAGGAAGGCCAAGGTGACAAGGGTTCCAAAAGGAAAGGATGGCAAGGGCAAGAGCAAGGATAGCAAAGGAAAGGGAAAGAAGGGCAAGGATGGTGCTTCATCATCCTCTGTGCCATCGGCGGCAGCAGCTGCAGCCGCATCAACTGTGACCATCACTGAGGTGAACGCGGAGGAGGTCATGGACATCTGGAGGAGCTTTTGCGAGGTCGCCCGGAAGGCACTTCCTGCGTTGAACGTCTTCCTCAAGGTCAGCGTTCCCATCCTTGCATCCGTTGTTAACTCCATTGTTGAGAACCCGAGCATTGGTGTGGAGCAGGCCGCAGGCATGTTGCGTGAGACGGTTGAGGATTTCCGCAACTTGTCGCTTGAGTTCATTGGTGACACAGGCGCTGCGCATGACATTGCGTTCAAGGCGCTTGCCGAGCAGGGTTTCGAACGTGAGATATTAGAGCCTTGGTTGAGATGTTTGGATAACCCAGTGAGGTTTTCTACGGGAGGAGGACCCCAAACTTCCGCGGAGGCGCTTCGAATCTACGCTAAGAGCATCGGAGACTTGAACCTCCACTTGTTGAAGAAGTGTCCGTTGGCCATGTCGATTGGCAAACAGGTCAGCAAAGGCCGCACTTTTGTTTGGGAGCATGGCAAGGTTCCATTCATTGCTCTTGACTATAAGAAGCGCAGGGTATGGTGTCCCACAGAACATTGCTGGGTTCAGGAGCTATCGTCGATGAATTTGCATCTACCTTCAAAATTCCCACGTTCGGTGGACTTGCGTTGGTCGTTAATGTGGGCGACTTGATCCTTTCTGGACCAAGCCAGTGGCGTGAGCCTTTCTGGAAGGCATTGGGCGAGAAGGTGTTGATAGATGACATTGGACCGTTGGGTGGCTTTCTTGGTAGACATCACTCCACTGTTGAACTTGATGGAGCAGAGTCGCTTGGCCTTGACATGTGTGCGTATGCAGAGGCTGCTGTGCAAGAATACCTGAGGGTTGCCAACAGCCCGAAGTTGAAAGTTGTTGCGCCGCCATTTTTGAGCAAAGGCTTTGTTGGAGCGGAAGAGCGTGGAGCCTTGGCGGGATCTGCCAGCAGCATCCTGATGAGATTCATGTGGCTCGCGCGACTTGCGCGCCCTGACTTGTTGAGAGTTGTAACTTGGCTTGCGACAATGGTACAATCCTGGACGCTGGCATGTGACGCCTACTTGTTTCGGGCAACGTGTTATTTGGAGTGCGCCAAGGACGCCTTGTTGCTTGGACATGTGCGTGGTGCGCCGCAAGATGTGTTTGTTGAGCTTTTCGCGGACGCAGACTACTGCAGAGACGATGAGCGTACACACAGCGCCACCGGCGGCTGGCTGCAGTTGTCTGGTCCACAGACGGCGTTCCCGTTGGCGTGGCTGTCAAAGAAGCAGACGGCAACGCGCCGAAGCGTAATGGAGGCCCAAACAGTGGGATTGGCATATGTGCTCTTCGAAGATTGGTTGAACTGTACTCGGCAATGCTTGGGCATCCTGTCTTGTTGAGACTTCGAGAAGACAACACTGCCTGTGCCAAGGTGGTGACAGCCGGTTACTCAAAGAAGCTGAGGCACCTAAAGCGCGTCCATCGCATTAGCCTTGCTTCAGTGAAGGAACAACTGGACCGCGAAGATGTTGAGTTGAGCATCGTGGGTACCAGTGACCAGAAAGCAGACGCCTTGACGAAAGCGGTGGAGGCACCGTTGTGGCCGAAGACATTACAGAACCTAGGAATGTGGTTTAGTGCAATTGGCTATGTCGTGAAGAACACTTCTTCAACAGGTCTCAAGCTAGCTGCGCACACACAGGCAACGTAGAGCAAAGGCATCGGCTTGAACAAGCAGATGACCCTCGAACCTGAGAGCCACGCAGCAAGCACAGCACCGAAGCCCCACAACACGGTGAACCCTTCACTGCCAGGATACAAGAAGAAACAAAAGAGAAAACCGGAAGGAACCTTACCTTACAAGACACCAGATGGTCTTCACGGGCCGAAAGGCGAGACAACGAAAAAGACTGGAAGTTGTTGCCTGGTCCTGAGTTGTCGCCGCGCCTCAAGAACAGAGGGGGGAGAAAACTTCCCTCATGTGAGAGCTACACCCTGTGGTGCCTGAACTGATGGTGAGTGAAGACTTGATGGGAGGTAAGGTGCATGCTTGATTCACACCACGTAGCACTTTTGGGAGCACTTTCCCTGTGCTTAGAATTGTCATGTAAAGAGTTGCATCATCTGAGATAGATATGCTAGAGAAACATTTCGCTTTTGAACTGTGACGTTGCCAACAATGTTTGGCTCAAGATCTCGGAAAACAGGCTGTGGCGCGACCGTGACTTCGATCGCGTATACTCGGCCTACACTGAAGGGACAGACCGAGGACTTGACAATAACTATTTGTATATTGATTTAATGCTCGTGCTTGTTTAACGATCCATGATTCGTGCGCGTGCGATCTCTCTCTCTCTCTCTCTGTTCTCTTATATTCTTGTTGTACATATTGTGATTTGTGCTTCGTCTATTCGAGCCCGTGGCTTTGGATGTGATCCATGCTTCCTTGAACCTCCTTCGGATCACGCCTCCTGCAATGCTACTAACAGACATCAAACAGTGGTGTTTGAGAGCCAGTTAAGGGTGCGTTTCATGTCCAAACTTCACTGAAAACCCTTGATAACCAATGCTTGGGAGAAATTGTTTGCGGGTCGTTCAACCTCAGATGATCTCATGCTTTGCCAGTTCTGGAGAGTCCGCGATGTCGGAAAGTCGGTGAAGAGTCAGTTGTCCACGGAGTATGCACGGTTCTTAGTGTGGTTCCGTCCTATTGACAGGGTTTGATACGATGGATTTTGGATCTGAGGCCACAAAGCAGCGCAAGGGTGGCCTGATCAATTTGGTGTCAACTCATGTCAACTTCACGTAGTAGAAAGTGTGTGAGATGATGCAGTTCTCACTTGTTTCGGCATGTGCCAAGTATCTCTTGCTTGATTGTCTAAGGATGACAAAGTGCATCATGGACTTGGCATGTCTACAAGTGGTAAACGAGGCCCTCTCCTCAAGAGGGATGTGTCACTTAAGAATGGAAATGTTGGTTCTATTCTATACTAGATTTTTAGCTTTAAGTATTCTTAACGGATTGGCATCTATGTCCAGCTAATGAGCAATGGTTCAGCTAGGTATCTGGAAGGAATGAAGTCCGAGCAGTGGCCCGTTCCTAGGAGTGAAGCCGTATCCCCTTAGGTAACCAACGTTGTTGCATGGTTTCTTTCTGAGGCTTCAACTGTTGTGAAAGCCACGTTGGCTTCCGCCTCCCGCATGATCTACTTGCAGGAGACCAGATCAGATTTAAGTCACTATGGAGAAAGTAGCAGTTTGATCAACCAGAAGTCATATATCACATCAGAGTTTGATCAAAGCTGCACGCCCTGCTTGCTGCAGAAAAGTGGCATCCTGGCAAAGTTGGCGATTCGTTTCTTGGCAACCACACTTTTTGATCTACTGCCAATATATCTTCGTTTTGATAGAATACCTTTGGCCCTTTTTCGGTCAGTGTCAGGGAAGGTTTAAAGTGATTGGTCAATGTCACAATGTCATTGAAGTTGAGCACTTTGAGCAAATTTTGTCCGGTAGTGTTCTGGGTAACCACTCAAGGAGCATTTTTTGAGGATGCATTTTCTCGACAACATATCCGATGCCTGGGTTCTTCTTTTCGCAATGGGGTATTTTTGCCTGACAGACCTCTCAGACAGTACACATGTCCAGGTTTCAGTTGCTGGCAGAGCAAGTACTAAGACACCTGGGTAGACAACTGAACTTTGAAGCTCCAAAATGGTCCACACATTGAGGTTGTGGATATCCATCTTCTTGCGTCTCAACGCAGCCCACTAGCCGTTATACTGTAAGTTATATGATAAGAACCTGCGCAATTCGGAAGGAACTTTCCTAACAAGCAATTCCTTGAATTGGGAATCTTGGAGAGTCGAATTTGTGGTTTCCAGGGTTGACTTCAAGAGCCGAATTGGACATGTTGTTGCCCGGCCCTGCCTTTTTACTTAGTTAAGTAGACGCCTAATTGATTAAGTAAGGGACAAACTTGTACGCTCCTAGCTACTTGGACGCTACATGACGCTACTACGTATGGACGCAGGATAGCTCACGCTTCTTCAAGCAAGCTCCCCCCGCTTGAGGGCGGGGTTAAGCTTCCTACTTTGTTTTCTATTGGGATTACGTATAACCATGTTGCAGTTTCTGAAATACCATTGCTGTTATTGTCGTTTTGAATCCTTGTTTTATTCAATATTTTATTGATGTCACTGGTTATTGTATGTTATTGTTTTGTTTGTCCTGGCCAGCTCAACATTTGAATGCCTTGTACATACAGACACATTGGGTGAGTTCATTTCTTGTGCCAACGCATGGTAGTCCACCTGGTGATAAACGTTGCACAGGGATTCTTGTTGCTTCTTGATGGACACCCACCTAGAGCATATGCTATAAAATGCACGTCAAATACCCGGCTCCGTTTCATACCTCAAGCTGTGTGTATTCTACATTGTATAGTGCATGGAACATGGGATGTAAAGAGCATGCTCCAAGCGATCAAGCCAGCAGCCAAGTGCTGATTCACCACGGGCCCGTGCCCATGTTTTGTTGGAATCTCACTGTACATTTTTTCAACATGCAGACACAAAGTCTGTGCCCTGAATCTTTAAGTAAGGTTTGAAGAACAGTAATGGTTCTACATATATAATAGACTATATAAAGCAGCTGTGTCCTCTGGTGTCCCAAAACCAAACATGTAAATACAACTATACAAAGTGACGGACACCCACTTTATGAAATGTCAACGAATAATCTAAGTGTTCATTCTGGTCTATCAATATTCTATGAGTAGTTCTTAATGTAATGTTCTAAAACAACATCACCTCTTTTCCTTGAGACAAAAGGCTCAGGTGTACAGGATTCACCTTAGTCGACAGACCTCAGAGTGCAGTGAACTGCTTCATTCACTCCTCCTTAACGTGGACATATGACTAAGTAGATTCTGTACAATTCATGACTGAAACCTTTGTCTACTTCTATGTTCGCAGAACCAGCCGTAGCCAATCATTGGAGCACGCTTCCATGCGTGAGTCACAAGTGGAGCTGAAAGATACTTTGTCAACACATCTTCGGTCTGATCTCTGCTGGGGACATACTTAAGTGCGATCCACACCCCGGGTCTTTGAAAGGCCTTGTTTGAAAGTGCCCTTCACATACCGGAGCACTCATTTTGCCACGCTGATGCATTTCTATGGGTCAGAGGTCATGCAACTTGAGCATCAGTTGACAGCGTAGGCGATATCTGGATGGGCACGCGTGGCCAAGCAGTTTTGTTGCGCAGCAATGACTCGGTCCGTCCTTGTCAGCACGCGGCAGCTCACTTGAAGGGCGGAGGCAAAGGTTTCCAGATCCCCAGTAGTCGCTGCAGGCTTTGCCTCACTTAAGCCCAATTTAGTCAGCAAGCCCAAGGCAAAGCACTTACAAATTACAAAGCTCGGGATACTGTAGCAACCAGTATTCCCTTTAAGGAATCAAACCCATACTGCACAAACGCCTTTGGCGGCACGACGACCAGGGGCAGGCGCGCGTTGCGACATCAAGAGGACCAACAGACTTGTGGCCGGCAGCCTCATGCACGACAGCGCGTGCAACTGCGGCGTTTACCGTGTTGCAGTAGACGGCGTCCACTTCACTGTAGTTTCCTCAAGCAGCGACACGCAACTTGTGCCTTTTGGCACCACCAGGTGCTGATGAGGGCTTCAAAGTCCAAACCGCCTTAGCAGGCAACACCCCAGCCCCTTCAGTTTTTTGCCGACGCATCGTTGAGCATCGATGGGGATAGGCCAAGTGATTTGGAAGCTCAGTTTTCCCCGTCGGCCAGTTTGCCCTTTGCTCGCCAACCGAACTCAGAACATCTTTGGCAATGCTTTCAGGCGCTTCAGCGTGGATCACTCTGTGGGTTGCAACGTCCTCATCCACCGACTCCTTGACATCTACGAGAGCAAGAAGTGCCGAAGAGAGGGGCGCCGCAACGCTTCGCATTCTGGACGGTGTGCAGTTTTGTGACGCAACCGCCGTCGGGGGAAATTGGCTGCCAGCTTTCTTCACCCTCAACCTCTTCCTGTGCCACAGAAGCGCGGTGTCAGGATGCTTCCGACGGATGTAAGCTGCGTGTAACATCGCTCAAGGCCAAAGTTTGACGGCAAGCCGCTGTCTATCAACGTGGCAAACTTTGAGCAGCCCTTCATACTTTTCAGCCAATCCGTTAGCTCTTGGTTGTTGCGACCCGTATTGTTGACAAACTCCTTTCCCCTGTCACTGTGCAAACAGAACACCACCTTCCCTTCAAACTCAGCTTGCGCACGCGCAGCCACACTAGCAATGGCGCCCGCAGTGTGCAGTGAACTGCTTCATTTACATGTTCAATATTGTTCGATCATGTTCTGAGTAGACATGTCATGTTGAGTGGGCGCTAATCATTACATTGCAGCTGCTGCGTCGGAATGTGTTCTTTTCTGTTCACTGGTGTGGGCCTTCCTAAGTCCCTGAGATTGGTAGTCAAACGACAAGTGGAACGATGATGTGACGGAGAAAAGGTTTGAGTCATAGTCATAGAGCCTTGTAAGTTCAGTCCCACCACCAAACATGAAGAGGGTGTGATTATAGCTTGTGTGTAGGAAGGTCAAGGACAACAGTTGCAGTGAACCTGTGATTTGTGTCTTTGTTTTTCTGTGTCTTTGTGTTTCCTTTCATGCAGTGGTTGTTGCGTTGAATCGGACGGATGGTAATGCAGACCATGTTTGATATTTTGTCGACCAATACCAGCAAACAATTCACGAGCAAGGTGCTTTACCCAACCTGGCTTGCAATTGAAGCCTATCCAACCTGAGCTAGTCTTTGGGTTCGGAGGTTGATTGGAGACGAGAATGCGTGCATGCCCCCGTCGAGACGACCAAACCCGTAATCTTTTCGCAAGGATAGCAACGTGTTCATGATTGTAAGGGGGCATCAATTAGGGCGGGGGGTTTGTCTGGGCGGAACTGCTGGCTAAGCCAATCTCGAAACATTAGACGATAGCTGCGGAAGATGTCCGTGAACAAGTGAGATGAAGTGAATCAATGGCTGATTTTGTTGCCAGCAGGAACAGGCGCTAGTGGTTTCAGCAAAGGGTAGACCATGCATACATCTCCACATTTTGTTTTGCCAATGTTCTCTGTGTGCTTTGAGGCTTAGCCTTGGTTGGCGCTATCGACCGGTTAGGCATGGCGTTGAGAAACTTTCACCAAAGCTGATGTTCTCATCATTTCTTTTTCTTGGCATGCATCTGGAAGGCAAGGAGGCAATGCGATTTTATAGTTGACATCCGTGGTAGTCCGTTTTGTTTGGGGTTTTGACCTGCATCCATCTCATGGGTTCGGTCGAGCTGTTTTGGGTCAGAGCACAAGCAGCGTTGTCTCTGGGGTCTCTGACCCCGTGCCATGCGACGGCAAAGCCTGGGAGTGAGGCCTAGTTGAACGGATGGACACCTATGTGAGAGTTGAAGAGTACTGCAACCACCGGAATTTTTTTGGTTTCTGTTCATGGTGTTCCAAGGTGTTCATGGATGTGCACCACCTTTATATATATATATATATTGAAAAAGAAACACACAAATTCATCACAGAACAGAAGCAGTATTACCCAAGCAACTAACTAGCATTGATCGAGCAGAGAGGATTTTTACGGAGTTTGTTCTGCGAGCGCACGATCTTGACCAAGCAACCTCAGGTTATGACTGGTACGTTCTTGACTCAGGATAATTTTACGTTCTTCCTTCACAGTTGTCCAGGATGATGTCAAGCATGTTATCTCATATGCAAGGAGTACTGTTGCAGAAAGTATGCAACATGTAGATACATGCAAGGCCATAATGAAGCCGAGAGGGGAACTAAACTCCGGCCTTGTTGCGCCTTTGCAAGCTGTTCAGTTCTTTGAGGCTTGCTCCCCGCGAGGCTTGTCACTGCTTCTTCCTTTGTTCTGTTAACTCCCTTCCCCTGGGCAGACGAGCATGACTATTGCTTTCAGTAAGACTTTGACCTTCAAAGAGCATGGTCCATGCGCCCGTTTTGCTTAAACCATGTGGCAGGACCTGAAACAGAGACTTTTTGAAGTCATCGACAAAGATGGAGATGACTTCCTCAACAAGGCACTGAACATTCTTCATGTCCATGTGTACGGAAGGCCACGACGACTCACATTGACGTCATTCTGCTTCCCTCTCAACTAACGCAGCAATTTGAAAGAGTGGGTCATGCGCGACATATCCGGCAGTCAAGGTGTCAGGTGTAGACATATTACAGTATACAATTCGGGCGTGCACCATCAAACATATGCATACGCCAGGCTACTCTCATTCCTGTACAGAGGCTGGAACCACCATCCGTAAGAAGAACCCAAAGCTTGCCGCTTGAAATCATCAAAGTCCAAGAGGATGTTGACATCTATGAGTCCATCCAGGTCTTGGATGAGCATGCTGACACCCCCTATTCTTTTCAGCATTTGTCGCCGGAATCTTCCGCTTCCACAACTTCTTGGCATGCAGCACGCTTGCTGTGAACCTCCGGAAGAGCCAAACAGCATGGAATTTGAATAGGAGTGCCGTTCACTCCTCTAGGAGGAAATTTGCGCTATATATAAATCATAGTGAGGCATGGTCTATAGTCTCTTAAAGTCTTCCGGTAATCCTTGTGGGAGGGAATGCAATGGCCTCACGGACACTACGCGTAGATTCTTGTTTGAATTGTGCCAAGATGGGTAGAGCCTTACTGAAACATGTGAATATCATGCCTGATGGCAAAAAAGGAGACTGATGTGCTTGAACATCAAGCTCGCACGCAGCAAATTGTAGAACTTGCCTCAGGTTAAAGCGCAACACATGTTTGAGAACCTTACAGTACGGAGGATAAAGACTGTTTTGACATTGAAGCTTATAGATGGCAATGGAGAGATTGGAAAAGGTGTACTTTATGTGAACCCGATCCCTTCTGCGGCCCAAGCCTTGTGTTACTTAAGCTTCAGCTTAGCTTCTTGCCTTGCTTGCCTTCTTCTTCCCCAGCCCGGTTTTCCACCCCCGCAAGCACAAAAGACAGGTGCCTTGATTGCATCCCAGTGAGCCAGGGGGAGATGCGAGAGCTGGCCAAATTGGTGGGTTTTGACGGAAACGATGAAGAGTGGGCAGAGGAGCTTGCGTGCATTTGTGCATATGCTGAGCCGGTTTGTAGCGTAGTTCAGGCCAGAGATCAACCATAGAACTCACTGGATGATGCTGACTCTCGTCAGGAGTATTTGAAGCTGTGCGAAGAAGTGCGCGCAATTCGGCATTCCAAAGCAATGACATGACAACATTCACTTTTTTCAACTGTGCGTCAGTGTGCAAGCAATGCCATGTCAAAAACGCCAATTCAAGAACTCACTGCGTTCAGACATTCAGTATTCTACTAGAAATGTATATACACACACACACACTTATGTTTGAGACAGCTCTTGCCTGCAACTAAAGGCCTTTCAGAAAGCACGTGGCAGTATATAACTATTATATTAAAAGTTTTTTGTTTACACAAATACGTTTAAACTAGTGTCAGATGTACCGATTGACAAACTTGGAAATTGGGTATTGTGCGGTAGGATGGTGGTAGTGCTTGTTGAAACATGCTGTTTGTTTTGAAGCTACAATGTTTTTTTTTCACTGTTTGTTTGTTTTGACCGACGATCCAGTTTATGGAATGCAGTTTTGATAAAGTCGTTGACAGCTGATGACATTTCAGTTGGCAGACCTGTGCAACCCCATGGTTTTGTTCTTCGAACAAAACTGGTGCCATAGTCACGTGAGCCAATTTGAGGTGAACCAGTGACTAAACTGGCACGTCCGGGAATGGATGGAGATGTTGGCCGTTGAGGGTTGAAAGACCACTTGTTGGACATTGCTGGCACTACGGACAAACTGGCCCACGCAATGGCATATTAGACCATATATATATATAATTTATACTTATATATTATATATATAAGTTGCTGCATAGTTTAAGAATCATAGGCTTCTCACGCCATTTGGATTTGGTTATCATTTTACATCTGTCAAAATGGACCGTCCACCTTGTCGTTTGATGGTCTTTATTCTACATGTATTTCAGGTTGAGTGGGTCAGGTTCTATTGGTAACTTTTGCCGCCGAACGAATGGTTTGGCCCTTTCAATCGCTGGCAGTTGTGCCTAATTGCATTTGAGCTGTCAAATCTAGGCAACGCCACAAAAAGGAATCCCGAAGGCGGGCAGTGGATTCGCAATTTTTGTTTGTAAATCACGGCGCGAAGACAGACGTAAACAGCTTTTCGTTTGTGCTTCTTTTGTGGCATGTACTTTTTAGAAGCTAGCAACATCAGGAACATGTGCCCGAAAGGCTGTTGTTCTTGGCCTGTTGGACGACCAGTCCGAAACAGGGTGCTTTTGTACAGAGGAGGAAATGGTGGGTTGGTGGGGCTAGAAAATGTGCGAAGGCCTTTGAGGAATTGTAGAATGAACAACTTCCCATTTTGCAGGACTTACAGATCCTACTTCGTGGCTTGGAAAAGAAGAGTGACAAGCAGAAGCGACAAGAAAAGCGGCCAGAAAAGCGACAAGACAAACTCCAAGAAAAAAGTAAAGCAGAAGAAAAGCAAAGCTCGAAGAACGAGACTCGCGAGAAGCTTGAGAAACTTCGCCATGAAGGCGGGTGAGAAGCCTGTTGGGCGGTGGCTTCGCCATGAAGTCGTTGGAAAGACTCCCCTTTGGAAGCAACACTGACTTGTTCAGGCGAGACTTCGATTTTCTTCTCTGGCTTTCCTATCTGGACCAGCGAGGTAGCTGGGGCAGACATACTGGTTTGATTAAGCTGACCCGGCTGAGATTTGCTGAATCCCCAGTCAGGAAGCCATCAGAGCTTTCTTCAAGAACGCTGGTGAAGTGCCCCTTGCTCTTTGAGAGGTTGTTGTTTGGAATTGATAGCAGCAATGGGATTGATAAAGAGGTCACTTCCACCCGTCTCTTTCGACTGAAGGACCGCTGGGTGTAGAAATGAAGGACATTTTCATTGTCTCAGATTTTACAGAAGGAAGATGCTGCAGGACGGCACCTCTCGTGGCATGGGCTACGTCGCCTATGCTGCTGTCAAGCAGGAAGGAAGCTTAGAATTGTTGAATGATGCAAATTTTCCTACCCTTCGTTTGGATACTGTTTGCGTTTCTTTGGGATCAGCTCTTACAAGAAGCCGTTGCTTGATTTACAACCCCTCCTCCAGGTGTTTCACTATGCACCCGAACGCTAGTGAAGAGTAGATGACAGGATGCAGAAAAAAGCTTATAGGGTTTCCATAAAATGCGATGCACTTGTTACTAGTAGCTTCTTGCTACGAGTAGTAATGCACTTGTTGAAAGTAGTTGTTACTAGTAGCGATGCACTTCACTCATGCAAGGGGTTCTTCAAAGAAGCGCCCTCACGTGGGGGAAGCTTCCTTGAAGCCTGAGCTCTTATTTGTCGAAGCCTAGTAGCCGCCTACCTATACTTGATAGCTACAATACCGACTTACACATCGTACTATGGCTAATCCTCCTTTAAAAAAGAAACCGTTCGCATTCAATATCATTCATTCAACACACTTAGCGGCTGGTTTTTTCGCTTCTTGGTACCGCTGAGGCAAATAGGGCAGTACGTGAGCTTCAGGGTTCTCAGGCACCCAGTGGAACCTTCACTTATGACTCTTATGATGTTTGCACGTGGTTGATGTTGCTTTTCTCAGGTCGATGGGTATCAGATTCAAGTGTGCGCGACACTTCTGCATTAGCCCTCACACACATTAGGTTTGGAAGAAGTTTCTCCTATTGCCCAAGGCATTTGATCACCAAGCTGAAAAGCATGGCAAAATGGGGTGGCCAGCTCACTTCCACAGATTCTGAAAGCTATGCAAAGATTGTGATGGGAGCCTTTCATAAGGGAGCCGATTTGTTTTCCAGGAAAGGCAGCTTTGAAGGACGACGCGAGCCGAAGGCTCAAGGAGGAAAGTCTTCCTGGAGGGGGCAAACCTATGAAGGCTGGTACGGAGGAGATTCCTACAGGGAGAATGATTGGCATGGAGAAAGTTGGGTAGGTGCCTTGGTACAATGGCGTGGTCACTGCTTGCTTGTAGGTTTTTGATTATTGAAAGCAGTTACTAAGCTTTTCGTCATGAGGAACACAGGTAATAGATGGGGA